TTGATAGGAGTAATTAACTTGACTTTCTAAATATTGTAATATCATTATAGAGAATAAATGTCTTCAAAAAGATAACAAAACATTCTTCACTTTTTGTGCTTTTTGCTTGTCTCATTCAGCCTATGCAGATTTTTCCCTATTTGACTCAGTCACCTGGCATTGAAGAACTCTGCTCCAGAGCTATCCTTGACTTCAACAAAAAAGTCAATTTTTTTATGGTCTGTCTCATATCCAGGAAAGAACAACTTTATCAGCTCTTGCTACTAGTCCTTGCAATACTCCAGGCTTTGGTCTCCATAAGTGGTATTTTTCTGGGATTATTTTACAAGAAAGGTGGATGATTCCTCTTTTTATTATTCTTTTCTAGGTTTGTTGGAGCAGAGTGAGATTTTTCTAACAGGCTTTCCATACATGCACTGTACTACCAGGCTCAGGCCAAAAAGAAGAAGGAAAAATAATAATTTTCTGTGTCTCTATTGAGAAGAGAATAAACATTACATAACTGCATGGGTATATTCCACTTGCTTCAATTTTCAAAGAAATTACTGAGTTATTACCTGAAAAATTCAGACACTTTGAAATGCATTACAAATCTCCTTTCTCTCAGGTGCTTTGGTGGCAGACAAACTTGGGAGGCACCTGTAGCTAAAAGTCATTTTTGAAGCCTATTTAAAGCATGTTTTGTGACAAAATTATCAACTTCTTTTTATGGGCAGATTATGACCAAAGTACTTTTATAATTTTCTAAATCTAGCAGTGCATCAGGCATTCACACACGTAATCTTAAAATGATTACAAAAACCTATTTAGACTCTTAATACATATCATCCAAACTATCTGCAAGCTCAACTTGTTTATACAAAGCTTTTCAAATCATTCCCAGTTTCCTGCTGGCTGCCAGTCTACCATCGAATTTAATGTGTTCTCCTAACAGGAGCAAGGGCCTTTCTCCAAATCTTGTGTGCATTGAGTGGGATGGAGCGTTTTTTGTGGAAAAAGATTTATTTTTCCTCAAAGTCCTGGCAAGCCTCCCCTGGGCTGAGCAGCTGGCCACGCTCCACCCCTGCAGGCAGCGATGCTTTGCTGCAGGGGAGATCTCTGGAGATGGATTTGCTCTTCTCAGCTGACAACCACATGGATTTTACTTGGCTCTGCCATGAGATAAAGATATCAAAGAGTGCCTGGCATGTCACACCGTCACAGAAGAGCAGCTCAGGAGGGACCTCTGGAGCTTGTCCAGTCTGATCTCCTGCTCAGAGCAAGCCCAGCTGGAGCAGTGACACAGGACCAATTCCACTTGGGATCACAGAACCCCACACTGGTTTGGGTTGGAAGGACCTCAAAGCCCATCCAGTGCCACCCCTGCCATGGCAGGGACACCTCCCACTGTCCCAGGTTTTTCCACGCCCTGTCCAGCCTGGCCTTGGACACTTCCAGGGATGCAGGGGCAGCCACAGCTGCTCTGGGCATCCCCTCCCTCAGTGGATCTCACTTTCCCTGAGGAAGGAGATGCCACAGCCTCTCTTGGCAGCCTCCTCCCACATCCCTGATCACTCTCACATGTAGAAAGTTTTTCTTACATCTTCTCAGCTTTTCCCATGGCCCAATACGTGCCTGCTCTCCCCAGAGGTGTCCTCTGGAACAGCCTGGCTCTGCTGCCTCTGCTCTCCCACCAGGTACCTGCAGGCAGCACAAAAATGCCCCTGAGCCTTTTCTGCACAAGGCTGAACAAATCCTGTTGCAGCTGCCTCCCTTCATCCATCATAAGCTCCAGCTGCCTGACCCCGTGGTGGCCCTGGCTGGACTTGCTATATTCCTAGAAAATCCCATTCTTTGGAGATTTCCAACCATGAGGGGAAAAAATACTGCTGTTATGGGGTTTTTCATCTAAATGAGACCAAAGGCCTTAAATTAGGGATAACAAGAGAAAAATGTTATCTCTTTTCTCATTTAGAAGTTTGAACCCAGTTAGAGATACACATAAAAGTGTGTGAGGAGGAAATCACCCAGAAGGAAACACTCACTGCATTCAGGTTCAAGAGAACTAATTTTGTCACCAGAGGAGAAATGTAAATGGTGAAAAGCAGGTACATGGCATAAAGCTGCTCCAGGGTTATACATATATATGCTACACTTCCAATAATTTCAGGTCTGAAATTTCGAGTTTATCAAATCACTTTTGTTGACCTGGTACAGCACACTGAAATTTTAGGCAGAACACTGGCAAGCTCTGTAAAAATATAATCTCCTTATGCCCCACCTGAAACATATTCTGTGCTGACTCAAGCTGACTTTCTGAGCAAGGTGGTCTCTTCAGCAAATGTCCAGTTTGACTATTTTAATTTTAGCTAGATTCACTACCTGTGCTAAAACTGAGTTAGCAGGAACAGGAGTAATTCACAAGCAGAAGTGCTGCTTGTACATCCCCCAGTACAATGCAAGAAATATGCTTTTGATGATATCTCAGAGCAGAGGATGACTCCTGCAAAAGAGATTTAAGGGAAGGAAACCGACAGAAGCTTTGTGACATGGTGGAAAAATATGGATTAAATGTATCAGAGCTGTTGCTAAGAGGAGCTGACAGAGCTGCTGAAATAGCTCAATGACCTGATTAAACAGGAGCGAGAAACTGTGTTCTCTGTCCACCTCTACAGGATTTCATCATAAATTATTTCATTAACTTGGTGTACAGAGACTCCTCCCCTAAAACAGAAGTCAAATTGCCATGTTGGCAATCCTCAGGAACATACAGAGATGCCACTAACTCTCATTACTTGTCTGAAACTGAAAAGAAAAACATCCTTAGGTGTGCAGGCTGAAACTGAGAAGTAAAGAAACATCATGTTGAATATTATAAACTTGTAATACAAGAAAAAATCCCTGAAACACTTGGGTCTACAGAAAATTTTAGATTGCTGTCAAAGATCATCATTAAAGTGTGAAAACATCTTAAACTGACTTCTATAATTCAATACAATAATCTCTCTTGCTCAATGCCCAGCCTTTCACTGATCCACTCACTGTCTGTAAATCTTTTAATATCCCTGAAGTTTGGTGGCAGCTTCTTTATCAACTCATATCCTCAACAAGCCTGAATTGAACCCCCCTATCAAATGCACAAACAGGCCTTTATTCACCTTCTTCTTAATGTGACTTATTAGAAGTTGAATAAGTTTTGTAGCTTCTCTCTGTTCCTAGAAGATCTCAAAGGAAATCTTGTTAATGTACATTTAATTGCTGCAGCTCAGCCTCAATCTTCTCTATAGCAACAAATATGCACTGGCTACATCTGTCAAATCTTCCCTCAGCTTCTTCCTTTCTGCCTTTTATGGCCAAGCCTTTCACACAGGTTTTCTTTTGTGCAAAGTCTTCCCCTCTACGGATCTAGATAGGAAAATATCTTTCAATTATTTTGATGAGTTCTTCACTCATCCTGTAATTGCTCTCACACGCATCCAGCCCATGATGCTGCACGTCCCATGCTTGAATACCATGAATAGGACAGGAGCAATGGAGCCCAGGATAAAAACTGGCAATTCCTTAGTCCTATCCTGTCATTTTGCTTTTTCTTCTTCTTTTTTTTTTTTTTTAACTTTAATTCACATTTCATTGCTTTTATTTTATTCAGTCCAAAAGAATAAAAAAAGCAGATTTTATTTGAAGGTTCAATGTCCCATCATAGAATTTCAGTTAAAAAAAGGAAGAAAAATTGTCAGAAAAGACAGATAAAAAGGAAATTAATGCCAGAAGGTCTGAGAGGAGAGGTGTATTAAAGAGGGGTCCTCTCTGAATCATGTTCTACTGACTTTGTGTGACAGCTTCTTCTATTTCTGCTTCTTACAGTTCTTACACTTCTTACAGTTTGATAGACCATCATAGCCAACCTGGGAGAATAGAACATTAAAAAAAATAATAAAAAACAAATCCAGTCTGTTAATTTCTTTTCAATTTGCACACAAAAACATCCTGTGTACCTTATTTCAAACCACACAAGGAACAGTTCTCACAGCCCTGCCTGGTAACCAAGGGATGGGAATGAAAACATCTCCCCTATTAAATTTGCTGAAAACACGGTGCACACTATCAAAAGAAAGAAAAGAAAGGTGTTTTCAGAAAAAAAAAACCAAAAACCCACAAGTGTTTCACTGTCTGTGAGAAATCAAGAGCAGGATGGGAAAGGCTGTTTACACAGGCACTTAGCCAGGAAACTGTGTTTTCCACAGACCCAGTCATTCAGGGAGCACATCTCCGATTTTCCTGAGCTCCCTCCCTCTCTTCTCCAAGCCCTGCAATTCTATTGAGAAATCCGTCTGTAGGTGAGGCAGCACAGCCAGTCCTGCACCCTGCCTCTCCTTTAGCTAAGTGCTACCACACCGAGGCCATTTGTAGGAATTTTACACAGCAAGGCAAACAAACGCAGACCCTTAAGGAAACGCGTGAGCTGCGCCAAATCGCCACCAAAAATCCGCCGGAAAGCATCCTCTCCTCATCTCCCGTGAAAAGCAGCGCTGCTAATTAGCAGGCTTGATGGAGAACGCCGTGAGATAGACGGAAAGTCTTGTCACTTTATTTGTGCATGCTTCCCTGCATCTTAAGTTGCATCTCGGGCTGGCTGAGGATCATGTGAGGCTGGGTTATAAATTGGGAGCCGCGCACTGGGGCTGGCAGTGTGTAAGCCTGGGAGTGTTGTGCTCGCTGCTTTCCTGTGCTAAGCTGATTTACTTGTTTAAGGTCTGACCTCATCATCCTGTCAGGATGGATTCCCACCTATACAGTTAACAGCAGCTCAGCATCGGCTGCGAGAGCTCGCCGTGTGTTAATCAGACACGGAGAGAGCTGCCGAGATTTGTTCTTTTGTTGGCTTTTCTTAAGAAGAGGAGTTGAAACAGAAGAGATAACAAAGAATCCATTTCCTTCCTAGAAGAATAGGCTTTTGTATTTATTTTTTTTTTTTCCGTTTGAAAAGGAAAAAAAAAAAATAAAATAAAACCCCAAATAAGATGTCAGTCTCTGGCAAGAAGGAGTTTGATGTGAAGCAGATCCTGAGGCTCCGCTGGAGGTGGTTCAGCCACCCCTCGCAGGGCTCCGCCGGCTCCGGGGGCTGCCATCAGCAGGAAGGATTCGAGCACAGAGGCACCCCGGTGCAGAACAGGCTGAAGAGCCACTCTCGGGACAGAAATGGGCTGAAGAAGAACAGCAGCCCTGTCCACCACAACATCCTGGCCCCCGTGCCGGGGCCGACGCCTGTGCACCACCGATCCATCCACAGCTGGCACCAGCAGAACCTCATCGAGCAGCTGCGAGCCAGCGAGGACATCCCCAAAAGCAGCACAGAGGAAAACTCTGCTAAAGAAGATTCAAGTAAAACCTCACAGGAGCTGCAGATGATCACAGAACAAAATGCAGATGAATCTGCAGAGAGGTAGGAGTTTTAAAGTCTGCACTTGGAAAGCCAGACTTGTTTCCAAGTTATTCCCTGAAACTGTCTTTGTTTTTAGCCAGAGTTCCTTACTGCATTAATCTCACTTTATTTATATATATATGTGTGTGCACACCCACACTCAGATGAGAAGGAACACTTCTGCATCAGAAAAATGAACAGGAACATTGTCATGAAATGTTGATCTTTGCTTAAGGTACATCATTCCATAACTCTTCCATACGCATAAAATCTGCCAGTTTGTCAAATTTGCTCTATCAACATCCACAACATCTCAATTTCTTCTCTTGATTTATTACATGTGAGTGCAGTGAGAAAAAGGAGCCTCCTGACATCCTGTCCTCATTCTGACTTTATCAATGGGTGCAACATTGACAAATGGGAGCTGCTGGAGGTGCACGGGCTCTGTGCTTGCCAATGATCTCTCAAATTTCCCACTGATTTTCTTTTACTGTCTTCCCAGCAAGGAAAATTAACCTTGAATTAAGTGGAAAGGAAGCATCATTCTTTGCTTTTTTTTAAAGGTTTGTTTGAAGGTTTGTACTTTCACAGCTCATTTAGTATGCTCAGACAAATATTTTCTGCAAGGTCAGGTGAAAAAACATTACAGCTCTGAGACCTTAAAGGTGTAAGCACAAAGGAAGAGCTATTTTTAAGTTGTGAATAACAAAGAATACAATATTAATACTACTTATTTAATTAAGCTTTTTCATGTTTTCTTTTTTTCAAAACTCTTGTCAGTATTTTTATCTTATCCAGCAACATTTCTACCCCACCTTTCCCCACCTTGGGCTCAAATCAATCATTAATGATAAGATTATTTGTACCATTTGATGAGATTGCTACCAGTCTTTGGACATAATTTAAATGTATTACATTGCATTTAAATACAAATTTATCTTAATTGAAGTTACAGTTCTCTCAGTAGAAACCAAGCTGACAGCTTGCATATTTTTAGCAGTTATTATTTTTCAAGTTGTGCATCTGCTGAGGGGAACATCTGCAGATGGAGCAGCAAAAACTGCATTCCAAAATGTCACTTGGAAACCAGTCCCAGTAGTCAATAGGTACCAGATAAAATCATTACAGAATAAAAACACTAAGGAAAGGACTGTGTTTCCAAGGGCACTGGTTTGGAATGGGGAGCAGCATACCTTTAGTACAAATTTCCTGAAAAAAAGGTGATTTTAGACACACCTGAGAAGGAAAATTGATTTAATTTGAATAAGGAACACTTGTTCATGCAAATAAGATTCTACACCATACGAAGAAGGAGGCAGAAAAAAGCCGAATCGGTTCAGTTTGGGAGGTAATAAACCACTTCATTCTAAAATAAGATGTGACATTTTCTCCAGCTATATATAAAGTTTCTGCTAAGGCCTCCTGAAGTTTTGTACCTTCATATCCACTCCAATTTAAGTTCTGCTCTTGAGCTGTTTGAAGTTGCAGCTTTTAGGATAGTTTTGGAACTGCATATGTCATATATTTTTATGGTCAAATAAGTGGGTTTCTTTAAGATTTCAGTAAAAGCCATCATTGCATGTTGTAGATTAAAATCTATTTTGACATTCATCTTAAAAATCTGATTTGATAATAGATTGTTTGTAGAGTGATTCATGACTATGAGTTTCTCTATAATTAAAATTTATTTCAAGAAAATAAAGCTGGCCATTAAGGACAACACAGCTCAAATTTCTTTAATATGTACCAACAGAAATCATTAAGTAAAACACTGTTCCCTTCCCCTACAGCAGCCAGCACAGGCCAGACATTAATTAATACATTAATTGGTTGGGTAGAAATGAGATACTGAGAAGAAATAAGGAGAAAAGCAGCTGTTTATCTACATCTACCTAAATCTAGGATGTAGATATCGATATATATATCTATATCTTGATAGATATCCTGATATATTTTTGAAACAAAGTCTGATCTTTGAAATCATGTCCTTAAATCATTCCAAGTCTCTTTTTCCTTCAGAAGTTCCAGATAATCCCAATCAATGGTAATCAATGGGCTCTGCTGGTGATCAACAGGTGAAAATCAGGTGTTTGCAGGATCCCCTGAGCCCATGTTCTCACTAAAGCCAGCACAGCAGGAGCTGCTCAGGTATTGCAGCCAAATTTCACATCCACACCTGAGTACACCAAAGCCAGATTTGCCTTTTGGAGCACAAAAGCACCACACTTTCAAAGCAGCTGTCTCTAAACCACTCTATTTTCCTCTGCTTGGAGAAATCCCATTTTTTGGTAGATCTAAAGCAGGACTCTGCTGAGTGTCACATGGACATCCAAAATAGTAGAAAAATCTATAGATAGATTAGAGAGAATCTGCCCAATACCTCAACCCTGGGCAGAATTTGAAGGTAGTTTCTACGAAGAGTTTAATGCTTCCCATGGAAAACTTTGGAAATGTAAAAACAACATTCTGAATTTCTTCAGAAAAAATTGAGCTTTCTCTAGAAACCTCAGGACTGAATGCTGTCAGGGATGGACAGAGAGCACCCTGGGGTTTAAGAAAATAAAGGTTGGTTATTGAGGAGGAAGGTTAAATAATAAAGTTCCAACCAACTTCCATCTGGAATACACGATCATCAATGCACTTATTTCTGCTTTCTTCAATCCATTTTGATATTCCTGTCCCCAAATTAAAGAGTGCAAGACTTGGGCTTCCTTCTGAATCATATCCCATGACAAGTGACAAAATAAATGAGGCTCAAGTGACTAAAATTCATTAATTTTGTCCTAATCGTAACCAGTTAATGTGCAGTCAACCAATGCATTCTGGGCCATAAATAAATGGTTTATTGGCACAAGGGTAAGGAAAGAATCTCAGCATTCTGGGGCTGTCTGGTCCAGCACTGCTCAGGGAAGCAGCTCAAAGATCTCCTAGGAACACCAAAAATGCAGCCTTGACCTGCTGCTCTAAGATCCTTATGCAAGTTATGTCTGAAGTTTGGGGAAAAAATGAACAGTGGATAATCTGTATTTACTGACCTCATCTGATTCTCACCAATCTGCTCCTTGAATGAGCACAGGGACCTCTTCATGGGTGGAAAAAACCAGCTAAAGTCTGCATGGCCACCAAGTCATTTTATCTGTAGAGTGTATTTCCCAACACAGCATTTTCTGGTATTACTGGGGTGAGCAGCAAGCTAAACCTGTGGAAAATGGCCATGCCAGGGAAGAGCAAACACCTTCAGAGATTTCAGGTTTGGCTTGAAGAGGTAGCTGAAGTGAGCTCTGTAAAAACCCATGGGAAATAACCGTGGGTGGCTGCTGGTTCAGCAGGCAGGGCTGGGGGGGCTGAGCACTCGAGCTGCTCAGGACACCCCTGATCTGTCCTGTCTGGAATCTTGTGAGGTTCAGGCTCCCCTGCCAGGGGGACAGGGAAGCATTTCCATTTCTTTCAAAGAAAGTGATCTGGCAGTGATCCAGAGACATCAGCACACACTGGGGGATTTGATTGTTAGGTTTTGACAGGCAACAGAAACTTTGTGTGCCCCCCATGAACACCCGTGTGCACAGGCAGATTGACAAAGCACTGAAGCCTCCTAAAAAGAAGAGTTTTGATACTGAATTACTTCAATTACTTCCCTAAAAATCTTCTGGACTCACAGATATTGACTTCCCCATGGAAGCACAGTGCCCAGTCAATTTCTGAATTTATGCCACACTACCACATCCATTCCTGCACCCTTGCCAGGGCTCTGGTTCCACAAGTGTGCAATTACAGACCACGTGTGCTGCTTAAGTATTTCCTAGTTGCCCAAAGGCACTTCGATTTCAGTAGTAAATGTAGCATCCATTCATCATTTCTTTTTCTCTTCTGCATTATTTCTTTTCTAACTATGTGGCTGAAAAAATGCTGACAAACTCTAGTTTGGGACAAATTCTAGTTTTGCTAAGGACAAGTGTTTTCTAATTTCCCACATGAGATAAAATATATTTCTAATTAATTTTAATAGAATCTTTAGGTGTCGTAATCCAAACATTTAGTCATTACTGATGCACATGGAAACAGATACTTGGGAGGTGCATCCTCCCAAAGGCAATCCTTTTCTGTGGTGGTTATTTTTGATGTACAGCTATTTTGATCATTCATCTTAAGACTTGAAAATTCACAGTTTTTTGGCAGACATATGGAAATAGCTATCAGACTATTTTCTTCAGTGTCTCTGGCATACATATAAACACACACACACACATATGTGTACATGACTATTTCAGATGTTGTCTCCTATCTGAGTTATCCCTAGAGTTCTGCTTTTAGATCCAGTAGCAGACGACATCCTTGGCTCCCATTCCAGTGTGAAATAAAGAAAAAGAGAACAGGTGATAATTTTCCTGGTGAAAATGGTACATAATACGAGTTATTCTGTCAAACCTCTGGTCAAACCAGACTGAGAGGGCTTTTGGCACTGCGAGTGAAGTTCTGGTACCCAAATAAACAGAGGAGCACAGCAATGACTGAGAATGGCAGGAGTAAAAGGGAGGATGGTGATGTGCCCTGTGCAGAGGAGGTGATAAAGGGCTGCATTCAGGGGGGGGCATCACAGCACTGCTTCCCTGTCCTGGGTAAGAATTCAGTTCCATGAACAATCTCTGATGCCCAAGGTAAAGTTCAGAAATGACAATTCCTAATCTCACATCACAGTGGCCTTTATGTTTAAAACAGAACTACTCCAATTTGATTTTCACTGAACCTCCAGCATCTTGAAAGGTACTTTCAGAAAATCTTAACAGCTAAGTATTTTAGAAGCATGATAAAGAATGCTGGACATGTAGTCAGACAGCATTTCAATCCTTCTGTGCCAAAGCTGGCCCAACCAGGTTTAGGTGCTTCCTTGCTTGTCTACAGTACAATTTAAGCTCGTTAATGCCTTGGTCTTCCCCCATCAGTATAGGTACCATATTGGTCTCCTTATTCTTCTTATTGCCACACTTTTCTTCTTTACACCCTTTTTATTTGTTTAAAAATTG